TTATTTTATTTCTATCATTATATATCCCTTGATTTTAATATTAATTCTATCACAAAAAAATCTCTCTTTATATTTGATATCTTTCTTAAAAATAATATGAGGGTAGTACCTATCTACTTTACTTCCTAAAGATTAGAAGGGAAATCATCCAATATTATGTCGTTTCAATAAATTTTCATTGAAAAAAACTAAAATATCATATTTTTAAAGTATGAATTAAAGTATTTTTTATCTTTTCTTATAATACTTTATTAAAATTGCGTAATTTTAAAATGATTTTTTTCTTAATTTTTATGAGGTAAGGTAGATAAGCATTAATCCCAAATAATATATAAATAAAATATAAATTATCTTTAAATTTTTAATTAAAAAATACCCAAAAATGATAATTATTCCGCAAAAGAGAAAGTAGTTGGTAATCAATAATTTTTCTTATTGTATAGTCTCCTGTGAAGTCTTTCTCTCGCAATGATATTCATTTTTTTAGTTCTCATGTATGGGGTACGCTGTTCGAAGTTTCAACATTGGACCTTCTTGTTGGCTTTGTTTACCATTCATAACCTTGTTTCAAATGTAGATGGTAATCAATAATTTCTTAACATATAAATTTTACAAATTACATATTTATATAATCTTAATCATTATTTTTTTATTTTTAATAGTTAAAATTTATATATGTTTATTAAAAATATTTTTTTTTCTTAAGTAAGCACTTTCCAAGAAACCACATTCTTTTGTTTACGGGAGTAGCTACCAGCTAGAAAGACTCGCAAGCATTTTCCAGGAAACCCATTGGCTGCTTTTTTCTAAGAATTTTCTAGCAAGGGGGAAACCATTCTTTCGGGTGTTGCTACGAAGGATCGTAACTAGTCTTGGTGAGGGAACCATTCTTCACTGTTAAATTTGCTTCTTCCCCATCTTTAAACTCTCTCTTCTTCCAAAACCTTGTTTCTGCTCGGCAAGCTTCAAGATCTTAATTTAATTTCCAGGTACATACATACTTGCATTTTCTACTATTTTCACTCTTCCATCTGTTTGATGCGACACAAATTAAATTAAGAAAATTTCTAATTTCTTCGGTATGTATTTTTCTTCTCTTTATTTGATGCCAGTTCTTTTCGCACCAAAATTCCCTGCGCAAGAACTAACGAGGTCTGCCTGCTGTCTTTGTTATTTTAATCACACAAAGCCTCTAAGTTGGGGACCAGGTATGATATAATTTTTTTCCTTTTGCTGATGAAACTGTATGCTATATTTTTTCATATAAACGACTTCCCACGACTTTGATTAGAATATTAGTTTGTTGATAAAAAAAAAACATGATAAAAAAAATTAAATAACAAAAACAAAACATAATGTGGTCACAAAAATATGAAAGTATAAAAAGCGAAATAAAAACTATGCAATCAAATAAACTTAAAACTACAGTAAATTAAACTGTAAGGTCAAGTCAAATATATCAGTGAAGATATTTAAAATAAAATAATAAAAATTAAAGTTAAAGGTTAAAATTAATGATAGTGTAAAGCTAATAATTAAAAAAATAATTGCTAAAGCTTGTTTTAAATTGTTGCTTAAACATCATAGGCCTTGTTACTCGTTTGAATTGTTGCTTTGATTTCTTAGGCCTTGTCACTTGTTTTAAGATTCATGCTTGTCTAGATTTATTAATATTGGCTAACTTGTTTTTATACTAATAAACTTTATAAAGATAAGGTAAGGGAGAAAGAATGATCACCTTTTTCTTTTTTTTTTTGAAAATAGGTAATGGAATGATCACCTTTTTCGAAGGTGTATCCGGTGGAAGATTTTCATTGAATTCTAGACTTTTTCCTGACATCACGAAACTACCAATGTTATCTTTCAGCTATTTTAATCGACAAAACTTTCTTTTCCGATGTGGACGCGCGGCTATTAATCAACCTCGCCTACCATTTTGTATTGTTTTTCCCGGTTTCGCGAGTTACATTTATATTCGACGAACATCTTTCCCCTGCTTTTTCTAGGGTAAGCACTTTCAACGAAACCACATTCTTTTGTTTATTTGTTAAAAACACGTTCTTTTGTTTATGGGAGTAGCTGCCAGCTAGAAAGACTCACAAGCATTTTCCAGGAAACCCATTGGCTGCTTTTTTCAAAGAATTTTCTAGCAATGGAGAAACCATTATTTCGGGTGTGGTTACGAAGGATCATAAGTAGTTTTGGTGAGGAAACCATTCCTCACTTGTTAAATTTGCTTCTTCCCCATCTTTAAACTCTCTCTTCTTCCAAAACCTTGTTTCTTCTCTGCAAGCTTCAAGATCTTAATTTAATTTACAGGTACATATATACTTGCATTTTCTACTATTTTCACTCTTCCAAGCCAGAACTTGAGATGCCTAATTCTGAGTTTCAATCTCTCACTTACTAAGAAGTACAGTAGATTCTATGTTGCATATTTGCCTCATTGCCACTCTTCCTGTCTCATTATAATACTAGTTTTTTTCTTTTTTAATTTAAATTTTTTTCTAATTTAATTTTTTCATATTTTAAAAAAATTATTTTAATTTTAATCTTATCTGAATTCTTTAACTTCACGTTTTTTATTTTAAAATAATTATTTTTTTATTTTTTAAATTAAGATTGAAGATAATATTTATATTTATTTTTTAAATTAAGATGCTACTTTTATGTGAAAAGGTTAATTTATATTAAAATTATGGGTTTTCATATATATATTTATATATTTATTATTTTTATCACATCTAAAAATTCTATTATAATTCTTAAGTGAACTACTTTAATTTTTGCGTATAATCAAAATAAGACTTATGTTTTAATTAGTCTAAATAATGTTGGTCGAGAACGTCCAAATTAAAATTTAGAAATGATTATAACCACTCATAAAATTGATGTGGCCACTTAAAACAATTTTTATAATAAATAAATAATTATAATATTTAAAAATATTATTAATTATTAAAATAATTTTAATATTTGTAAAAACGAAAAAAGATATCTTCTTATGTTAAGACGTTCTGAAAATTCAAAACTCTTAATATATTAAGTATAAATTATTTCATTATTTATTAATTAAAAATTATAATTATTACAGAATCAATTTTTTAAAAAATAAAATTTAAAAATTTAAATTGCTCCATAAAAAATCCCCTGTCTGAGACCCGCACGCGAACGACGGCTTGATGGACGTTCTCGGCGACTTTTATTATTATTACCTTTCAACCACTTTACCGACGGCTTCATTTCTTCCCATTTGGATGTAGACATCTAGGGCTAGAGCCAGACACCGTTTTTTCCTGCGATTTCATTGTTCTTCTCGCGTTTTTTTTTTTAAACATCATTTCCCTGCTTTCTCAAAGGATTTTCTAGACAGGAAAACCATTCTTTTGGGTGTTGCGACTAAGGATCACAAGCAATTTCCGGGAAATCCATTCTTCATTCCTAAAATTGCTTCTTCTCCATCTTTCAATCCTTTCTTCTTCCATAACCTTTGTTTCTTCTCTCTAAGCTTAAAGATCTTAATTTTCCAGGTGAGTACATACATATTTCTATTTTCTACTATTTTCACTCATCCATTTGTTTGATGCATAGATAATTAGATACAAATGAAATTAAGAAATTTTCTAATTTCCTCAATATTTATTTTTCTACTCTTTTTTTGATATCAGTTCTTTCTGCACCAAAGTACGCTGCGCAAGCACTAAGGAGATCTGCCTTCTTTCTTTGTCATTTTAATCATTCAATTTTTCAAGCCCCGCGGAGTTGGGATCAGGTATGATATATCTTTTCATATAAAAGAATTTAGAGTTTAATATTTTTATTTTGATATTCGAGTTTAATATATTTTGCTTCTCAGAATCTCATAAAATAAAATTTATGAAGGAAGAAATGTTAGCATAAATTAAGTGTAACTGCTTTCCACGGAAAAGCCGCATTGTATAAGTTTTTGCTTATCCTTTTTTTTATTATCGCTAAATTTAATTTGAATGGTAGTTTAATGGGTTAAATGGTAATAGATTAATAGGCTCGTTAAAGTGAAATGTATTTAACTGCTCTTTTTTCCGTTAGAGGACTAATACGTAATTTTCTTTTCTTGTAAGTATACACCATCTTAAATGGACATTTTAATAATACTTCTTTTTATTTTCTTTTAGAAAAATTTCTTCATGAAGTCCATTATAGGGTCAGTTCTTGGAAGTGTAGTAGGCGAACATGTAGATTGTCACAGAAACTTCCAAAATGATGTGGATGATCTTAGAAAAAGAGTGACAGATCTAAAACGCAGAAGAAATGATAAGTTAGCAGAGCTACTAACAGTGGATGACTCGGAAAAACAAGTTAAAGAAGAAGTGCAAGGATGGCTTGAAGATGCAAGGAGGGTCACTGAAATTGAAATGCCAGATATTGAAGAAGAGGTGCAGAATGTTTCATACTTGTCACGTGGTAGCCTTGGAAGACGTGTTCGTCAAAAGATTCAACAGGTGAGAGAAATTTATGATCGAGGTAGTTTCCCTGAAGGTCTTGTAATTGAAAGGCCCCCGCCTATTGGAACCACTTTGCCAACAGAGAATATGGTGGGCGAGGTTGATGTGAAGGAAAAAATTTGGGAATACTTGATGAGTCACGAGGTTGGAATTATCGGAGTTTGTGGAATTGGTGGAGTTGGCAAAACCACTGTTATGAAACACATCCATAATGAATTACTAAATGAAGCTACTAGGTTCAAGAAAGTTGTCTGGGTTACAGTATCACATCCACTCATTGTTTTTAGATTACAACGTGACATTGCTAGTGCAATGAACAAATGTCTTCCTGATTATGCGGATGAACTGAACCGGGCATCAAGGCTGATGGAGGTTATGAAAACAGTAAAATACGCATTGATCTTAGATGATGTGTGGGATAAATTTAATCTTAAAAAAGTTGGAATCCCAGAACCAACAATAGAAAATGGGTGCAAAATTGTTATTACTAGCAGATTGGTTGATGTATGCAACTACTTGGGATGTCAAATAGTTAAGGTTCCACCTCTTCTAGAGCAAGAGTCTTTGAACTTGTTTTTAGATAAGGTTGGGCAAGATGTTCTACAAATTCCTAATCTGAAAAAGATTTTGAAGCTTATGGTGGCTGAATGCGCTGGTTTGCCACTGGCAATTGTCATCATTGCTGGGAGCATGAGAGGCGTAACAGATATTCGTGAGTGGAGAAGTGCATTACGTGAATTGCGTCACTGTGTGGTGGGTACAGAGAAAGATTCAGAAGATGAGATATTTAAACGTTTGAAGTTCAGTTATGATCGTCTACCAAATTCAAGCGTCCAAGAGTGTTTCTCATATTGCTCATTGTATCCTGAAGATTGGATGATTAGAAGAGAAGATCTAATTGAAAACTGGATTTGTGAGGGACTTGTTGAAAAATTAGGGAGCAGAACAGAAATGCATGATAGAGGACATGAAATTTTGAATAGGCTTGAAAACAATTGTCTATTAGAGAAAGCCTATAGAGATGAAAGAAAATGTGTTAAGATGCATGATGTTGTGAGGGACATGGCATTGCATATTAAAAGCACCGGTCCAAGTAAGTTCATGGTGAAAGCTAAAATGAGATTGACAGAGATACCAGAGAAGGATGAATGGACTGAAGATCTAGACAAGGTTTCCCTAATGGAAAATGAAATATCATATATCCCTATAAATATATCCCCCAAATGCTTGATGCTCTCAACCTTAATTTTGAAGGGTAACGAAGAATTGAAGCAAATTCCAGAGTGTTTTCTAGCAAACATGCCCCTACTGAAGTTTCTTAATCTTTCTTATACTAACATTAAGGCTCTACCTAATTCCATCTGTAGCTTAAAAAATCTTACAGCACTGATTCTCCGGGGATGTCAGAGTTTAGAACGCATGCCTTCCTTGTCAAAGCTTAAAGCACTGAAGAAGTTGGATTTGGATGAAGCGGGCCTTTGTGTGGCTCCTGAAGGCATTGAAATGTTAGAAAATCTAGAATATCTTGATTTATCTGCTCCAAACCTGAAGGTACTACCAAGAGGAAAAATCAGTAAGCTCTCCCACCTCCAATACCTACGTAAACATCCGATTTTTTCAACTGAAATAAGAGCAGAAGAAGTAGCAAGATTGAACATGCTGGAATGTTTTGAAGGTAGATTTGAACAGCCGAAGGACCTCAGCAGTTTTGTTAGCGAGTTGAACCATTTTGGAAGACCCAATAATTACTTGCTCCATGCGGGACAGGCGCCCCGAGAAGAGGAGGGGTATTTTTGGAAATTCAACAACAATGATCCTCTTAAACAGGTAACTTTATCCGGATGTGAGATAGGAGAAGAAGATGAATTGGTGTTTCCAGATGACCTTCGGGATTTGAGCATTGAAAACTGCAACACGGTCGCTGATATTTCTATTTTTCTGAAAAATTTGACTCAATTGCAAACATATGATTTGAAATACTGCCAAGGGATAGAGTCTGTGATCTCCTCATCGTCCTTGACAGTTATGGATAATCTTGAAGAACTAACTCTTTGGAGTTTGCATAGCTTGCAGGATCTTGTGAAAGTGGAAAAAACAATATCCCCTCACATCTTTTCCAATCTTAAAGAGTTGATTGTAGTGGCCTGTACAGGATTGAACAAGTTGTTTCCATGTGAGGTGCTGCAGTGTCAGTGCCTCCAAAACTTGGAGGAGATTCACGTTGAAGATTGCTTGGGGATGGAGGAAATAATAGGATGGGAAGAAGAAGAAGAGGAGGAAGGAAATCAAACAAATACTTCTGCAATATTCACTCTTCCAAAATTAAGGTCATTGTACTTGGATTATCTACCAGAATTGAAGAGAATCTGCCCAAAAAGAGGAGTAATGGTTTGTGATTCTCTCAATTCCATTTGTATAAAAAGCTGCCCTAAGGTAAAGAGGATTCCCCTTTCTCTTGGAAGGGAAAACGGGCAACCATCTCTTCCTGCTATAAAAGTCGAAATTTATAATCCAAAAGAATGGTGGGAATCAGTGGAGTGGGAGAATCCTGATGATAAGAATGTCCTCATACCTTTCCTCAAATATGATAGGTAAGTCGCATTACACTCCCCTTTTCTATCCCTTGCATTCCATTCCTTCTCTCTTTGGTATTTCATTAATAAATGTTTCTATCTCTTGTTTACACTATCTTGTTTCTAAATGAATCCAAGTGTTAATCTCTGTTGATTTGCCTAGTTATCTAATCTTGATTGATTTGCTCATAATTCAGATGTCTATCTCCCTTAATTGGATGCTAATTCCTTTTTAATTACTCACAGTCGTGGCACTTGGGTACGTGTTTCTTATCTGTCTGTCCAGCATTGAAGGTTTGTATAGCAATTCCATCAACAAGGATTGACTAGTTTCAGTTTCAAATGCCCAACCTAGGCATATATGTCATGTTCTAAGGAAACAGTTGTTTTTTGGTTTCTCAAGGACTCAAAATGTCAACCTGAATGGATTTACTGGGTGACTATGGACTATCAATCTGGTCAATCCGTGTCCAATTTCTAATGCCCAACCCAGGTAAGTCATATGTTTCCAAGAACCATTTTTTTTCCTTTTTTTGGCTGACTATTATTTGCTTCCTTAGAATTAAGTGATTTCTCCATACATCCTTGGAGTAAGCTGCATCTATTTTGGCTCTTGCCATCTCAAAACTATTTTCTTCAACTCAGCAACAAATATAACAAAGGAAAACAAAACAATGGGACTCACACTCACTTCAATCCAATGCAATCTTTGTTTTAATTTGTTTTTTGGTGCTATGGATGAGCAGCTTTGTTTAATTAATGCTTGTTTAAGTAATATTTGTTTTATTTACGTTGTAATAACTAGTAAAACAGATATGAGAAATTTCTTGTTTTATGTTTGTGACTGTTAACTATACATCTTAGTTTCTTTAATCGAGTTATTGTTCAACTCTTGTGGTAATTGAACCCACATATGCATGTGCCACAGCAGACCAAAGGTATGTATGTATAAAGTTATATGAATTTTCTCATATTTATTTGATCTAGCGATTTAGTTAAAAGGCTCCCTCTGTGGCAGGCTGGCAGCCCTTCACTGCTGTATTTCTCCTGCCTTCAGATTTTCTGCAGCCAACATAACCATGTTTGGAGATCAATAATTATTTCAAGACCAAAATATTAAGCAAAATTTAGATTGATTAATGTGTTTTCCTTGCTGCCAGCTGCAGCTGCCCCTGGTAATTAGTTGATTCTACTTTTCTCATCCAATATTAAGTGGTTTTAGAATCTATTTTTAAGGATTTGATACTGTCCTTTCACCAAAGTGCTCCCCAATTGATATTATGGTTCTTATTAGTTTATCCAAACATCAGAACTATGTTCTCTGCTTATGACGCATCCTATTGAACTAGAAGCCATCTGTGTTGATAACAAGAGATATACATACTGCAGGGCTCTTTCATGCTGCTTCTCTGAAGCTGAGTCCCCTCGGCATCTGATCTACCAGAGGTTATGTGAATGGATATATGAGCTTGTATAATCGGTTTTCTCATTTTTATAGTATTTTGATTATGACTATCTCTTAGCTGTTAAAGTAGCTAGCTGGTCATCAGTAGGAGATCTGGGTCATTAGAGAGTTGAAAAAATGGAGTTCACTTCATTTCAGTAAATATACCTGGAATAGGAGTTCCATCATGGATACGTTCATGATAATGCTCTCTAAAACCTTCTTTTATCATTGCAGGCCACTCAATACCAGAGCTTGCAGAGGTACTCTATGATTGAAACAAGTACAGAAATAAATATCCATTAATCAATCTCAGATTTTATTGAGAGTCTTCGCACATGTTTGTGCTGCACACATACACACATATATAGATCGTCCAAAAACGGATGGTTTGTTAGAATTAGCTTCAGACACACCCTGTGATATCATACTGCAGCAACCGTTAAACAAGTGTGAATTCAAATCAGCTAATTAACTGGCTTGAAGAATGCAAGTATTCCAAAATATGGATTAATACTAATAGGTACGGTACATGTTTGAAGTGTTATGCTCCATTATTTTTTGCACTTCGGTACCCAACATTTCCCCTGCTTAATTCAGGGGTATTAAATTATCACTCAGCGTGGCTTTTTTCCTCCTTGTGTCAGAATGGGATGGTTGGTGTAGACTAAGCTGAGATGGAGGTTCAAGTGAGGAGATTTGAGCATTTAACTTCAGGCTTGGATTAGCACTTAGGGATAAACATATGCTGTAATTCTTTTCAGTTGCTACTACATGATGGATTGAACATTGAAGAATTGCTGATAAAGTAGCGTCGTTGAATTAAGAGGCTGTTTTAAGTAAAGTTGCTATTGTCTTGATGTCATCGGATCCTTTTCCCTGCCTCTTAAAACTGCTGAAGACCATTCGATACACGCCATGTTGCTGAATTTTTGGATGGACCAGGAATGGTAGTCTTTATGTTGATGCCAAGGGAGATACTGCTTTTGCTGTTACTGACTTAATTTGTTATTGCTCGTTAGACTAAGAGCCTTCAAGTTTCAATTTCTGAAATTGGTTTCGTTTGAAGCGTTGCTTCAGCCTCGTGTCTTTGAGGTGTATCTCTTCTTGTTAAACTATGAATGAAATCCAAAGTGAAGCATTATATAAACTACAACGTTTTCTCCAAATGTGAATATAACAACTAAATTTATGTGGCATGAATGCATTACATAGTCCAGCCATGACTTCTATATGTATGGATAACAGGGAAGCTTAAAAATCCAGACAATTGCAGTTAAGTAAAAGCCATCCACAAAATAAAGCACTAGTCTAACAACACTAGTCTTACAAGATATAATGTGGCATTTATGCTTCAACCAGATCTGCCTGCACTTTGCATCGACTGATTTCCACCTTGAATACATCAGGTTGTCCAGCATTGTACACTTGGGTTGGAACGCTGAAGGCTCGGAGTAGCAAATTCGGCGGCGATTAAGAACGGACAATCGCAGGCTCCGGCAAAGAGAATGTGGTTTATAGGCCACCTGACTCTGGCCCATAAAAAATTGGGCTTGGACGAAGCTGTCTTTGGTGTTGGATTGTGTTTGGCCACTGTCTACAAAAGACATCGATGGGCTGCATGGACTACCTAAGCCCGCAGGCCTGACATTTTAGGACTTTAATTTAACTTCTTTTTAAATAAATTTAGAAAAGAAAGAAAAATACTTTTTTTTTTCTTTTTTCTTTTTTTTACTAAAGTGGAAATTTCATTACATTAAGATGCATTTACATCCTGTGTTAACAAAAGTTGAAGATTAGGTGGCCGGCAATAAGCCCAATACGATGGACACAGGTAGTTTTAACTTATGCTTTGTTATCCAATCTGCCATCCTATTAGCTTGTTTAGACATATACACAACTTTCATTTTTTATCCAAAACTATCTTTAAACTTTAAAAAGTATCAAAAGTATCATTGGTTTGGGAACCAATTCAGTCCTTCCAATTTAGTGCTTTCATCAGTTAAGTGCTGACATGTACTGTTATCTCATCCAAAAATCAAAAATTTTAAATCCAAAATAATAGATAGCAATTCTAAAATTATGTTATTGGTGAGGTGAACAATTTCTTTGTGTCTGTCATTTTTTAAGTGATTCCCTTTCTTTACAAATTTTAATATATTAATTAATGAATTGAACATGATTAACCCAATTATGTTTTTATTGATGTATTGAGTCCAACAAGAAGTTCTGTTCATTTATTTTGTGTTAGCAAGTGTTGTTTGAATTTTTTTTCTTTAATTTAATCGATATGTTGAAATTTTCTTTAATTTGATAAAATTTTTTGTTATTGTCCAAAAAAAGTTATGAGATTTTCTAGTAATTACATTTTATTCTTTGAACTAATCAATATAAGAAAGAGAAATCAAGCAAGCAGGCCAAAGTCTTTTTGGTGGGTTGTGTGTTGGGTGATGAAAGCAAAACTATTCTTGGTAATGGTTTCCTTGCAGTTTGGTTATTCAAGGATGACATTGTCCTTGCTTTAAAGACAAGCATGAGTCACTACATCCTTTCAATCTATCGTCATGCAATTGCATTTCTTATCATGGCTCCCTTTGCCTTTGTCCTCGAAAGGTCTTTGCTCCAGCTTTCTCTCGCACATTCACTTCCCCTCTTAATTTTCATCAAACGTAACATGTGCATGTTTTGTTTCTTAGTTTGATCTAATTTTAATATTTATGTTCATGTCTGCAGAAATGCAAGGGCAAAATTAACTCTACCTATCTTCCTTAAGGATAATGACACTTGGTATTCTTGAGTAATGCTTTAAACCTCTAGCTATCATTTCTTTCATCTTTTTATGCAATTATTTTCTTTAAATCAAAATTAATTAAACATTGAGTGATCATCAAGCTAGTGCTAGACTTGAACTTATACAATGTGGGGATAACATACATATTAGCAATAGTGGAAGGAACCTTTTATGTGTATTATCTGTGCATTTTCTGTGCACTATTCATGCATTACCTGTGCTATAAGTAAAATACTCATAATCACTCCATTTTTACATGCAAAATGTATTTAGTTATTAGAATTCATTGCATAAAAGTTTAATTAATTAATTATGTTCCAATGATTGATTACTCAGGCTAGAGAAGGTGGATGTGAAGAAGTTACTTAATGTGGCCAAGATGATAGGAATTGTAACCACAATGATGAGAATGGTCATGACTCTGTACGCTACCCTTACCATCCATTTCTCCAAGTTAATGGGAGCATTCCACTATAGAAACACTATTGAATCTAATGATAAGCACCATCAGTTTATTCTTCAACTAATTATGCTGCTTCATATTACAAGTCAATAGTCTAACTATGCAATTAATTTGATTGAGTTTTTGGTGCAATCTTAAGTCCAAACCCCTTACTAGTTTTTGTCTTTTCATGATATCACTAATTCAAGTTGAAAAAGTACCTAATTGAATTCTTTTTTAAAACTCTAGTATACTCTATAGGAACAAAGGAAGGTGCTATGGTATATCTTATATTTGAAAGAGACATGATTGTTTGGGAAGTTGGCTTTAATAGTAGGCTCATTGTTGTTGCTTACTTTGTAAGTTCAAGTTTTAAAACCTCAAAATCATCTACGAACACAAAAAGAGGAATGAAATATTCTAATTTGTGAAATTTGATTAAGGAATGATTTGCTCTGGAATTGCTTATTATGTGCAAGGGGTTGCGATCCAACTACAAGGCCTAGTTTTCACAACATTTTTTAGTTCTTTATGCATAATCATCACTGCTACACTTGGGGTCATAGTTTTGCAAGAGTTAGTTCACTTGGGAAGGTATGTTAGCCGTTCTTTCTGTTCTTTAATATTCTTTCAAATCTTTCTCCACTTTCAAGAATAAATTAAATATGATGAGGATACGATCCACTTAGTTTGAGTGGGTATTGTTTGTTTGTTTGAATTTTAGCATACTTGGAAGCATTCCCATAGTCAATCATGGAGGCATAATTGATGGTCCTCTTGCAAACATCAAATCAGACTCTATTGTGCAATGTTGCATGGGACTATCTCAAATATTTCATTTGTTATTTTCTATTCTAATAACTAATTTTTTGAGGTAGCTCTGATTTTCTTGAACTTCTTATAATAAAGTGAAAGGAACAAAACTTATAGGGATTGAAAGTTATTCGTGGCATTGGTGAAAGCCAAAGAGCTTATGGAAAAGCCAAAAGATTAATCATAGTCCAATGGCTCTTGCTTTAATTTTGCTTTGTGTCCATTTGAATACCCTACAATCATTTCTTGACCTAAATAGAATATACTTATATGAGTAAAAACAGCAAACATAATTAGCTAAGTGTCTACTAATATAAATTAATAGCTGATGCTAATTAGAACAAATTTTAAGAGATCATAGCTTAGTCTAATTTGAATTTAAATGCTCCATCAATTAAAGCAGCCATGAATAATACTTAAACAGTTAAACTTCAGGACCAACACCTTCCAAACTTAGCATTTTAAGCTGATATTGAGAATTTCCTTGCAAATTTCTTGCAAACTTCAAGACCAATTTTAATTTAAATATTCCATCAATTAAGGCAGCCATGAACAATACTTAAACTTCAGGACCAACACCACCCAAACTTAGCATTTTAAGCTGATATTGAGAATTTTCTTGCAACTTTCTATCACTGTGATAATTGTCATTTTCCCAGCTTAAAGTATGAAACTATTGCAAGATCATTATGTTGCAAATCTGTTGTAAGAAAACAAAAGTAAGTTCTTTCTCAAAGTACTAAACTGTGTTGATATTGAGAATTTAGTTGTGTTCTTACTTCTCCAAAACGATTTAAGTCAAATGCTTCACCAGCTTCTTTACAATAAAGTCTGTTTTCCTTATTTTCTCAATGATCATATCTACAATTATAGTATCCGGGTCAACCCAACTAATAACAACAAAAAAATTAAGGCGGCAAAAAATTTTGGTAGGATGTTTTTACCTTCTCCCCTTTTCATGGCAAAGAAAAAGGGGACTTTTACTCTGCCATAAACATTAAAAAAACGATTTTGAGTCTACCATCCGAATAACATTCTTGTGCAGTCATGTACTCATCTTTAATTGTTTCTAACCACCATATCCATTAGTAAAATTTTATCCTTATCTTATATATCAAATCAATCTTTATCCAAATGAAAATTATAAATATAAAGATGCAAAATGATTAGTAAATATATATAATATTATAAATATTTTTTTATATAAAATGATAATTAATAATATATCATTTAATTATAAATTTGCAACATTAATAATATGTAATGTTTTTATTAATTTTTTAATCTATCTATATA